TCAAATGCAAGACTGAAGGTTTGAGTTTTGATTCTTGCCAGTGGAGGCTGATAGGCACACTGCTGATGTGACCCAAACTAAGATAAAACAAAATAAAAATTTTATTCACATCATTATTGTTACGGGTTGAAATTATACCGTTGTTGATTGCCGGGTTCGAATATCGATCTACTTCCGTTAGTTGATGTGAATTGTCTTAGTGAAGTTATTTTATCACAGGATATTTAAGAGAGATAGAATATTGTTGAATACTAAAATGCACGTCTACTAGATTTTAATGTTAACCACAATCTATCTATTTTCAATAAACTTTCATCGAATAACTTTATCGATCCGATCTACACCTATAAACTCTGAATTAAAATACTTTTTTGTTCACATAAAAAACTGAACAGTTCAATAAAAGTAACATGAATTGGATTCACAGTTCTACTCTTTGCCAATTTTTTTAGAATGGAGCTTCTTTTTTTTCTAATGCAACTCACAAATTTATGGAAAAAATAATTTCATCCATAAATTGTCCTCTATTCAAAATTTGTAATACTTGAATAATGAAGTAAAAAAGTATTTCAGAAAAATTATCGACGCAAATCTAAAAAATACTCACGCGATTTTCAATCATTAAAGTCTATGACTATATCCTCACCTGATCGACAGAAACCAATCAACTGCAAAAGACTAAATGTACCTTAGATATATATTACTGCTCGGCTCTAAACGAAACCAGTGAATCTGAGAGTGGTAGTTTTGATCTTTGATCTAGTTGATGTATCAACTGACAAAAAATACGGGACAACTGTTTTCTGAGAAAAGGATCTCCAATAAACTAACATCAGAATATAAACTAAAAATTATATCATAATATAGAGGACATTCACAGAGGAAGAATTAAGATCCTTGAATACAACAGACCGAGCACTGATCAGATCAAGCTTGATGGAGAAGCTTTGGGAGGTGTGGAAACTTCTACGTAAATGGTCAACGCCACTGATAAGCAAGATGGGTCAAATACCAATGTAAAGATACAGATTAGCAAAGCAAATGCAGCATTTATACTGATAAAAGACATCGGTAATTCATAACAACTGTCATAAAACACAAACTCGAAACTTTTCAATATCAACGCCAACACAGTTCTAGTGTATAAAACTGAAACTTTGAGGATTTCAAAAGCCAACATCCAAAAGCTACAGGTGTTTATCAACAATTGTCTACTCATGGTAATGCCAATCCATTGACCAAACTTCGTCTGCAACAACCTACTGTGGGAGAGAAGAAACAAGATTCCAGCTGATGAAGAAATTACGATAAAGCTCTGAAGGTGGATAGGATACACAGTGTGCAAAACATCCAAATACATTAGAAAGAAGTCTTGATTTGGAATACTTAAGGCCAAAGAAAAATAGGTAGATCATGTGATAGATCATGTTCTGTGACAAGAATTAGTGACAGATATAAAAAGAATGAATGGCAATTAAGTAGAACTGGGAAGGAAGGTCCACGATAGAGTGGGCTGGAGAATGCTAGTCGGCGGCCTATTCTTCAAAAGGGGTAACAGGGGTAAGTAATTAAGTAAGTAGGTAAGAACTGACTTTCTTATCTAAGGAATAGAGTACATACATTTGGACGATTATTTGTGATGATGATTCGGTAGTTAACATTCATGTTTGCTCATTTTCATCTCTCCTAAGCAGCTATCTGGTTGGATTAGAACTTATCGCTTTCAATCAACTGTATGTCCTATATCCACCGAATGAGCGAGAATAGAACTTTTACTTATTCTTTGCTCAATGACAAAATGAGAATTTTCAATATACCACGATTGATGAATTATTAAATAATAACACTCAGTACTCAACAATTTTTTTTCATCAAATTAAACAAAAACATTGATAAATTTCACTGGTCAATATCAAATGAAAAGTTAGTTCTCATGAATGAAAAATTATTATGTAACTGAAATTTCATCTGGACACCATGAGTTTATTTTATATTTTACGAAATAAACGTTATCTCATTTATCATTCTAATATCAATATCATTCTCATATCGATAAATCTTATCGAAATTTGTTATACATCACTGTAAGATGAAACTGTAAGATAATCAATCTTGATTGGTAACATATCCTAACGAGTTGTTATACTGTGCAGAGATGTGGTGGGTGCCTATACCAGGACGAAACCACCTCACAGTGCTTCCCCCAGATTTCTAATGGTGGTCTAACAATGACTGATTCATGATTTCAGTGATAAATAATACCACCCACAATTGTCATTTGTATTATTAATATAATTATTCCAACAATATCAAAAATAAATATTTTCAATAATAATCAAAATTCTCTCGATATTACTTTTATCGAGAAGTTCACTTTATGACACGTTCTCATCAATTATCACACAAAACTTATCAATGTATACAAAAGGCGAAATATTAATTTCATTTTTTAGTTACAATTGATGTGTTGTGTTTAACTACGTACATACAACAAGAAAAATAAACCAGAGAACTGTACGAGTACAAATGATTGGATTTTTTTCAACAATGAACCAAATAAAAGGAGTCAAATGTCATTTGATCAATTGAAACAAACGATAAACGATTGTTTCTTTCACTTTAAAATCATACACACACATGTATACAAACTGGCGGTGAGGCCGCGATGATAATAAACACATGAGCATGTACACATTTGAAACTATCAATCAATCATTGTTAGACCACCACTAGAAACCTGGAAGCACTGCACAACGGCCGTTTCGTCCTAGTATGTGACTCATATGCAGTGCGCATCCACGACTCCTGTACCGCGCAGGATTCGAACCCGGGACCCTCGGTATTGTGCGTGAACGCCTAACCACTGGACCACTGGGCCGGCATCCAACAGTGTTAGTGTCTAACTCTGATTGATCTAGGGATTTTTTGCGTATCTGCTTAAGTTTGAATGTGGCAATCAGCAGTCGTTATCTGTGAGGATCACCTTCATTCTCACTAGGACGAATTGGCTATCCTGTACTTCCAGATTTCTAATAGTGATCTAAACAATGAATGATTCATGATTTCAACAACCATAATAATAATAATGTAATCACAAATTATTATTCTACAAGTCTTATTTATTTTTAAAATGATTTTCACTACATAATACTGCTGTTAATGAGAAAAACATTAGAGACCAGTAAAACAAAACCTGAAAAGACATAGTGATTTATTACTGCTTTTTTCTAAAAAAAACAATCATAGACTTAAATACAAGATCAAACATTAGAATTTCCATTTATCACAGAAAGTGCAATGTTTCTAACTTATTATAGAATCATAAGTCGACTGGTTCGTAATCATTATTCGATTCTGGACAGGTGCACAATTAACTGAATCTTCATAGATTATGAGAACATTTTTTTTCAAATTTTACACAGTTATAATAATAGACTTTGTGTAAGACAGACACATTTTGAATGAATAGTTACGTTATCAAACAAACCAAAATAAAACACTTAAATAAACAAACATCATAATGTTTATGTATAAAAATGACAGGAAATCGATAAGTCACAGTTAAATTTCCCATAAAAAAAATAATTTTCGATTAGGATGTACCACTGCAGATATATATATATAATTTATGAATCCCAATGTTCCAGTGTGTTTTAAGTATGTCAAATAGGAGATAAGTGTCCATCTCAATCATTGGTTATTGGATAGTTCAATGTCGTGAAGTGATTCAAGTCAAAAATGTAAAAATTTAGACCCTACATCAGTGGTTTAAAGATTAAGCATTCGTTTGCATAACAAAGTGATCTTGACGTCAATCCCTCGTATCAAGGTAAATGGATATTTGCTGATGTTGCTATCTTGTGCTTATTGGTTTCCAATTGCTTCCTAACTTATATCACCTTGTAATTTATTTAATTGTTCAAAAATCAATTTGTCTTAAACAGTAAAGTATGTGAAGTTCACCTCAGTTATTGTTTGATCGTATTGCTATTTAGCTTTGTAATTAATGATCAGCGGTAACAAAGTTTATTGAAAAAGATGAACACTATGAGTAGTTCATCTTTCATTAATTGGTCACTAAAATTTCACTGACTTTATTATAACTGTAACAACTAGTTGTTAGTAAGTTTCACTACTTCATTATCCCAAATAAATTGAACGGATTTTATCATACATTAATAATCACAGTAATAAATATTTGTAATTCTAAGTGATAGATATTTGAATTTCGAACATTTTCATGATACATTCAGCAGCTATAAATAATCATTTATATTATATACTTATTCACAAGTTCCGTTAGTCCTATTGTCTATGTCTAATATTTTCATCTTTCCTAACTTTGTGATTTCATCTCAATATTCTGATACAGTAAGTCAACTTAACTGGCGTGCATAAATACCAAATTCTCAGTTATAACTAACTTTCATTTCTCTGACTTCTGGTAATGCTAAATGTAAACATTTTGGTTCTTTAGAAGACAAGTGTTTATCACTGAATAGCTTAATGGTAACTTCTCTAACCATGACACTGAAGAACATAGATTCTAAATTCACAACGATAATTAACACTTTCAAGCTCACTGATAATATTTTCCTCTGAGTTCAATTTAATGGGAAACCTGGATCAAAGATTTATTTTTGATATTTATTGTATTTTCAGTCACTGATATTCTGACTGATATGCGCATCTTGTGCAGATTGTGCGTCTAGATTGTCATTATAAGACAATTATACATAAAACAGATAGTTGATCTAAATCATTACTAATCAAATTGAAATTCATACTGACTACACAAATGGATAGCTATCTGGACACTATGACAAAGTGGTAACATGTTGGCATTCAAACCAAACGTTGCTGGGTTCGAGTCTCGAAGTGACCAACGGTTCGGATACAAACATATTTTTAAGTTAAGAGTCTTCAACTCGACAAAATGTAGGTCTTGGATTTTAATGTTAATCACATTTCATCTATTCTACATACTTTCATCAACTTACCAATAAGTGTTGTAATAGGATGTGAAGTGTGTGGACAATAAGCTGAAGAGTGAATATTTTGATAGTTATTTGTTCGATTCATTCTAAATTCATTTTCCTTAGATAAACTTGTCTGTTTATTGCTCATATCATTTTTTCTTAATAAAAAACAATCACACGATTCTCCTCCTTCTAGATATATTTTTCCAGATGTAGAAAATAATGTAGGATGACGATTGAAATGACGTTGAGGTGGTTTAGGTGGTTGAGAGTATGATAATGATGTTTGTACTGATGATATTGTTGATGCGGCAATTTGTGATTGTTGCTGCCATTGTGAACATGGTAACTGAACATACGTTACACCTGTATCGCATATAATTCTACCAGTCATTAAAGGTGAACAAGAAGTTGAAGAGGATGGTGACATGACTAATGAAATTTGATTACATAGAGAAGAGCAAGAAGGTACTACTGGAAACAGAGTATCATTATCATGTTTACTTGATGAATAATTAAATTTAACTTGATTTAAATCAGTTGTATTTAATGTAGAATCATTAATGTTATTACATTGTAAATTTTTCTGATGATCAAAACCAGTATAACGCAATTCCTTCTGAATTTGTGCTGTTGATGATGATGATGATGGTGTTTTCTTACGAAAATTGACAATCAGCTATAAGAAACGAAAATAAAAAATGAATAAGAATAAAAACTTAATGAAAAATATTTTGTCAGATTAAACATTCAGAATGATCAATCACACTTAGTTGATCAGTTATTGTCAAAATAGTAGTTGGCACAGATGTACACTACAACTTCCACAACCAGATGAAATTAGCAAAACGAATTGAAAGTTAGATTAAAGCAAGGACAAACAGAACGTTTTCAATTTAGTTAAATAAAAATAACATGGAATGGTGTTTGCGAAAGAGTACTAGAATTGAAGATATGTGGGGATCTGAAATTGAATGCATTTAAACAACTGTGAAGTAACTTTTCATCAGCACCTGAACTAGCGATAGGGAATGAAGTGTGTTGAGTGTGTTGACCGCTTCGCATATATCTTGAAAATCTTTTCAGTCATGATAGCCTGGTGTCTGACGTGATCTTGGCAAGGATACAGAAGGCTCGACTATCTTTTGCCAGCTTGCATCACTTATGGCGTAGGCGAGATATCCGTCTGCTAACCAAAGGACGAGTCTATTGAGCAGAAGTTCTCTCCATCCTATTAGATGGGTGTGAAACATGACCAGTAAGAGTAGAGGATATTCGTATGTTAGTATTATACGATCATAGAAGTCTTCGAAGTATTGCTAGTATACACAGGGACCACCGAGTAAGCAATGCTGCTGTCAGCGAACGAGTACTAGGTAAGGATTGCAAATCAATAAGTAAAGTAGTGTAGTGGTTGTTCATCAGTTAAAATGGTTTGGACATGTTATGCATGCTCATCCACCGACTGCATCGACGAGCTATGTTTTGTGATGTAGGGGTATGCTAGAAGAAAGCTATGGGCGATAAAACCAAAACATAGCACAGATTCATGAAGTAACTAACAACGATTAAATCCCCACAGTCAAACTCTAATCCACAATCCAGTAACTCAATCAGCAACACTTAAGACTTGACAAAAACGTGATAGCAATCACTAATTAAAGTGATCAAACAATCTAAACTCATAGTTTCACACCAATTCATACAAATCATCACATATTTTGATCATTGCAAGCATAAAACATTCATAAACCTATTATGGTTGCTGTAGCTATCATAAAGCTGAAATTAAATTCACCTTCTTTGACAATTTCGGTCAATATACATTTATTCAAAAACTCTCAGTGAAAGCCTACTTTAAGATGACACGGATTAGAATCGTTCAATATTGCACAAATTTATTCACCTCTCTGTAAATCTTTAATAAAAAAGTATTCCATTTTATAGTGCAAATCTGTCACACGATCTTAATTGATGATGTTTGATTGACAAAATTATTAACAATAATTATCAAGACTACAAATAAATCATCACAAACTTTTTAAATAAAATAGCAGAAATAATAACCATTCGGATTAAAATACCAGAGCTAAATGTGCTGGAAAATTTTGCCTAATCCCTTCACTTTTATCGTGGCTAACCAAAACTATAGAATGACCCAATTTGACTAAAGTAAAGTAAAGCTTTTTTTGGTCAAATCTCATTGTTTTTTTTATTATCTTTACTCACATATCTTTGCACTCATAATAATAATCATTATTATTATTGTTATTATGGGTTTGCCATCGTTATTATCACCTCACAAATGTATGATCATGTCATTATTTATAAGTAATTTTAAATCAGATTATTCACAACTTGATCTTGCATCAAAACACTGGATCAAATATGATAACTACATTATTATTATTATTAATATTATTGTTTGTCTCGCCCTATTTGACCCATATTTATTTATTTTATTTATTGATGTCACAATATCATCATTTCATCACATATAAACTTATTCAAAATCAATAGTACATATTTGTTATTTAGAATTAGCCAAATTTTATTTTATTTCACAAGCAATCATGAATTTTTCTATGGTATATTTTGAAACGATGTATTTCGCAGTAAACACAATCATTGTTTTGAAATTCTTCAAGAGAATTTATTGGGAAAAGAATATTTTTTTTCTGTTCGTATGATTACAATGTCAAAACTATAATCACTTGGGGTATCGTTCAAGTTGGTTAATAAAATGAAAGATAAATAACATATGTTTTGTAGAAATTTCGTGACAAAACATTTGAACATCATTTTGAAAAAAAATTAAAATAAAGAACCATGTGGAAATTTGTCAAACAATTCAATGTGTATTAAACAGGGTTGCAGTGATGGTCGATTTAATTTTGAAATCATGAATCGATTAATATTAGACAACCGTTAGAAACCTGGAAGCACTGAACGGTCGTTTCATCCTTTGTGGGACTAATCAGAAGTGAGCATGCACGACTTTCGCCACTTGTAGGAATCGAACCAGTGACCTTCGGTACAGCACGCGAACGCTTATCCTTTAGACCTCTGAGCCAGCATCTAACGGTTTTAATGTTTAATTTCAACCAATTCACGGTCATTATCGACCTCATCATTGTCTTCTGTAAGCAGTGCTTCACACCTGAACAAGGTTGAACTCCACGTACAAGACCGAAGATCCTGGAGTTCGGTTCTTGGAAGTAGCGGAAGTCGTGGATGTGTACTGTTGATGATTCCAATACCAAGACGAAAGGGCTGTCTATTCTTCCAGGTTTCTAACAGTGGTCTAATATTGATCGATTCATGATTTCCAAAACGAAGAATTCACTGTATACATAAATAATCGGAATTATCATTGACCAGTTTGTATCACTGATAATTTATCAACATTTACCACAATTTTATTGATTATTTTTATTTAAACATCAATCCACACTATTTGTCTACATACTTGAACAATATTCAGTTACTGAATTTTAACGGTTACACTCTCAGATAGTTTATCCATTTTAAAATATGACCAGAGAGATTTTATCAAATCTTATGGTATAAATTATTCTGATATTTTAAAATTTAAAACTATTTTCTTTAAACTCACACTATTCAATTTTAGCAGGAAGTTATTATTAAGGCGATAAATTCAACGAACCTTACTGAAGAAGTCAATGAAATGACAATGAGAAAAATACTAGGAACAAAATGCCACACACCAAATTCATTTATTTTTGATACAAGCTAATGACTCTGCCTGAATTCAGTCGGTCAATAAAAATAATAACGGTATCAGGTTGATCAGTGCTAAATTGAACTGCTAGCTGATTTATTCAACTGTGTCGCAGTTTCCTTTCCAAATTTTTCTAATATTAATCAATCGGTAATCTGAATCGAGGAGATAATCAATCGATTATCCATACCATGTCGTTAGTTGAAAATATTTTTAAATATTTTAAAATATTTTTAAATATTTTTTAAATATATTTTTAAATATTTTTAAATAAAAAAATAATTATTTTTATGCTTAAGATATATTCTCTGTTTCACTTGATGTTTACTGCTGAATGATTTAATTTAAAATATCAAGCTACTTTTCTGTTATTTTTCAGTGTTACTTTTTTTCAAACGAAGTCATTCAGTGGGGTTAAATATATAACCAAAAAATAAACATTACCATAATTAATCACGCAACTGCAATTATGAAAATGATGTGAGCAGTATTCTAATTTTTGACCTTCCAAACTTAATGGTATCTAGGCCATATGATAATAATCATATATATATATATATATGTAAGGTCGATTACGAGGATGTCCGTTTAGTGAATATATGTATAGTTTATTTGATTTGCTATGCAGTATGACACTAGCTCTTCATTCTAAGTGAAGATCGATGTCAGACAAAGCTAATCACTCACAACCCTTCTATTCCGTCTAGTGATTCACTGAGTTATGAAGATTGTCGAATCTCAGGAGAAAAATTGGAGTTTAGTAGACAGCTTTGATACAGATGGATGATTTAGACGTTGAAGATGACCTAGACCTTCTATTCTATACGCAGTGCGAATCGCGAGTGAGAACATTCAGTGTACTGTCAGATTCTGCAGCAGTAGGTCTCAAAGGTCCTTACTGGAAGAAGCAGAATCCTTAAATATGACAGAGTGCACACAAACCAAATAAAACTTAGAGGAGAAGCTATGTAGGGGATGAAATATTTCATCAACCCGAGCAGCATTATTGAAAGTCGAGGATCTGAGGCAGACATAACAGTTCGAATAGCAGAGCAGGAGGAGTGTTCCTATAACTGAGGAGTATCTAGAACACAAAGCAACTATCAGCAAACAAAAAACTCAACTTTTCAATTCAAACATCTGGATAGTTCCATTGTATGGAGCTAAAACATGGAAAACTACCAAAGTTATCATCCAAAAGATAAAAATGTTTATTAGCAGCTTTCCAAGCAGCGTGTTTCTGATCCGTCGACCTTAGACCATCAACTACAGCCCACTATATCGAAAAATAAACCAGTTTCTATTTGAAGATGAAATTAAAAACAAACGCTGACGTATAGGTCACATTTTACTGTAATTACCAAACGTTGTCAATATATAAGTTCGAACATGGAATTTTTCAAGGTAAACGTAATGCATGCGAACTAAAGAACATATTAGCTTGGAATTAGAAGGAACATCAGAAGGATGAATAGCATTTATGTACAACTGGGAGGAAAATTCCAAGATAGAACTTGTTGGAGATATCTGGTCAGTGGTCACTATTTTACCGAACGGTAACATACGTAGGCGTAACACTAGCTGCATTTGGTGTTATTAAAAACATAGGAAACTATTTATCACCTAGGTATTCATTGTATAACTTGAAAGCATTTATCCGATCGAAATAGATTGAATGATGTTTGAGAAATGTTTCAGTCAATATTAGTAACACGAAAAAGAATATTTTTAAAAACTGATCATTATTACACAGTGAATAACAAATTTAATTACATGATTTCGTGTCTTTTGCAAAAACACTGTTCTCATCATGTTTCCGAAAGGTTGAAATAGAATTTCCTTTTCTTACGGAGATATTCAAAACTTGTTAGTTAATGCAAAGTAAAACGATTCAGTCGTATGTTACTCAAATAATAAAGTTTTAATCTTTCAAAGTT